CTAAAGTACGTATATCCTGTATCCTGTGGCACGAGGGGTCGTGTATGCGGACGCACTCGTGCGCCTCGCAGGTAATCAAAATTCCTGCTCCTTCCCTGTTCGTCAATCTTCGGGTTCAGTAGTTAGAGTGTCGTTACGTTCCAAATGCTAAACCACCAATTTCTCCAAGGTCGCCGCCACGCGGACCACAAATTCCGTAGTTACGACCCACTACCTCCTGGATACACAGTGAAATTCCTTCTGAGGGAACAATCCATGGGAATGTGGGTAAAGAAATTTGAATGTGGCTGTCTATTTGCTAGTTAGCACAACGCCGAAGAAAAAAATACAAGGGAAACAGATAGAGCCGTCCTAAATAAAGCCCCATTTTGCAGTCTACTGTAGCGAGCACACACTGAAGAAACGACAAGCGCACACATGAGAGACCAGACCGCAAAATATGAGAGAGTATGAGAAGTTGTACAGCCCAGCGAGACCGCTTACCTTTCGGGCGAGACGGAGTGCACCCATATCCCGATATGGGGGCGTGGACCGCCACAAATCAGGAGCCTCTGGCGTCCTTGCTGAGCTGTCTACGTCCAGTTATGCTTCCCGTGGCGTTTGCCCCCCCCCCTCATGCTCCCTGGCTTCCTTGTCCCGTTGAAGGTACAAAAATGTACAGCTTCTCGGCTGCCTTACACACGCACGTAACTTTCGGTCCGCCTTATGGTGGACTGTTCCATTGAGACCACTTTTCCCAGTCTTTGAACTCGCATAGAGGTATATATCGTTAACAGCTCGCAGTAAGTAGGTAGTTGAAGAAGGGGTGCAGCACAAACTGGTTGCGCAATCTGTTTATGGTCCTGAAGGTGGACTGAGCAGTTATTTGACGAATTGTATTTGGAATTGTGAGGGAGTATCAAAATGTAACGAAATCAGGTAGATGTGAAGAGGTACGCTCGTTTCCTCTGTAGGTGCGGGGGCGTATCAGAGAGGCAGGGTTTGGTGCGGCGCTAGGCTGGTTTCGACGAGTTTTTGAAGTGGTCAGGCGGCTACAATTGGTGGAAGACTAGTTGGCGCACAAAACCCACCCGCCCTGCCTCTGACACTGCCCAGCTCCTTCAGCGAAAGCTAGTGTAAACTGGAAACAACTTACCGACCTACTGTTCCCTGCGGACGCCGATTTCGAAGTTCCATAAAAAGTATCCCCTGCGGGAGCAACATTAAAAAATTGACGGCCTACTTTCAAGGCTAATTGAGGTTTGTTTTCAGGATGGGGTTCGGGTGCTTCATTGGTCTCGCTGTTAATGGCTTCTCCACTGACGCAACCTGGTCGTCGTCTATTCAGACGAGCTATCCTTCTCGATGGTACAGCATTGGCTCCGTGGGCTATGGCTCATAATCCGCAACAGTACTTCGCTCAAGTCGCTGAAAATTTAGGGGTAGGTGCTCTCACGGTGTGAAAGAATAACTCAGGGACTTTAACCGGATTTATTGATTGATCTGTTGATTCAGTGCTTGTCTCGGAATCGATCGGCTACATACAATGACAACGCTGATACTACACTTCGATGCATGCAGGATCATCCTGCTGACAATGTAACTAAAGCAGTACAAGCTATCAGTATACCAACATTCCTAAGCGGTTTCGCTCCGATAGTGGATGGACAGGTACGCAGATATTCCATTTGACCTACACAAATACTTCCTGACAATCGCTAAATCATACAACTATTCGACCAATCTGCACGTTGGGAGAAGGTGAATACACTGATCGCTATTGGCGGATATTCCTGACAGCCAATCACAGCTGTTCTAGCGCATAATCACAACCTAACGTGCTAGTTTTACATTTACGCAGCAACTAGTCGATTAATGTGACTAATACTGGAATTTCGTGAATTTTGTGATCGATTGGTGATTTATGTGAGACGTGAGTCGCCAATATAGTCTATACCGAATTCTAGTACATCGCCCATACTACGCCCGCGCTATCCTCAAGGTGCAGCACTTGCATCAATACCGAGGTCCCGCAGCGAAACATGTACTCAACGGTAGAAAGTAATCAGAAGTGATAGAGCGCAGGCAAGCATCGCGCATGGTTATGGTTGGCGTGTGGCCGACCGAGCGGCAGCGTGGGCGCGGTATAGAGACGACCCTCGAGTATCACTTGCGTACCACTCACCCAGCATTCGGCAAGTACTAGGCCAATGAAGGTGAATGTACAACTGGTCTTGGAAGTAAAAAGGCCAAATTTTGTTTTCAATTCGTATGTTACCAGTTAGCCCGTATCAGAGTTCGTCTGTTCTCCTGAAAATTAGGAAACTAATGTTCACTGTTTTCAGTTAATTCCAAACTCGCCACGGATTTCTTTCTCCAATCAATATGGCTCATTATTCCGTGAAATTGATTTGCTCGTCGGATTCTCTTCAAATCCGGCCCACTATCTATTGTCAAATGAGGATTTGAAGTCAGGATTATCGAAGGAAAGGCGTCAGAAAATTTTCAGGTGAACATTACTTTTAATTTTGCTGTTCGGAAAAGAATGGGCCACTGAAACTTGGGGTAAAGCGAGGGAGCCTTGGCAGCATAGTGGCCTACAAGAAGACCCGCAAAGCATACAGTCTTGTTTTCGCTGCGGATGCTTGGACGTGGTAACTGGCTGGGTTTGACGCGGCGCCAGCCCAGTTTCCACCTATTGCTGTTGCTTGCCCTCTCTAGCAGTTAGCGGAGAACGGTCTGGCACTGCGCTAAACCCATCCAACTGATACCCCAGCACTCGCAGCGAGCAGTACTGTATACAGTCGCTATCACTGGGTCACTCGGGGCGCGTCATCAGCGCGTGGGTTTAGGAGCGGTTGCAGCCCGTTTCCCGTCCATCGTTGCAGCTTCAGCCGTTCAATTCTTGTTGGGAAAGGGCTGGCGACGGGCCAAAGCTCATGTAACGCTCTGACACGCCTCGACTCAATCGGTAATAACGACTCTTATGCAGATTTGAATCTCGTCGAACGCTAAACCTTTTGCCCCGAATAGAGTGCATAGTGTCTCAAGAGACTGCGCAGGCTGAATAATATGGATAGGTCATAAGGAGCAAGGGTAGCCTTTTGGACTAGGAACAGCCTAAAGTCCTAGGAGTCTGATATAAAAATAATATTCGTCACGGGACACGTTCCACGCGAAAAGGATGGATGTGCCACCCAAACTGACCAATCCTCCTAGAATTGTCTTTGAAGAGGGTTATGTCACTGAGGTTCATTTACGGGGACGATGGTAATCCCAAGCTCTCACCCTGTCGTGTTTCAGCGGAACTATCGATTCTAACGCTTTCATTCCAGAACTCTTGTGAGAAATCTCTACGACTATCATCGTACCGAATTGCTAGCGGCCATTATCAATGAATACACCGACTGGGAGAATCCACGTGTGAGTAACTGCTTCATTGATCCTTTGACTGTTTCAGCTTCTTATATTTACCAGTTGGATGGCCTGTTGGCATATTTGCTCCTCCCATGATGCGGCCGGCCCAATTTCGCACGGCAGTGCAGAAGGGG